TGGCCGCCGCCGCCGCCGCCACTGAGCATGCTCGGGCAGCCCCGGGCAGCCCGCCCACCCCGTCGCCTCGTCCCTCCGGCCGGGAGCGAGCAAAGCGCCGGCGCCGGGGCCGAAAGGCGATTCGGGAGCGGGCGAGGAGGAGAGCTCCTAGGCTGCTGTGGAGGGTTTGGGCCGCCTTTGGGCTTTTTGTGCTCCCCTGTGCCTGTGTGCCGGTTGCCAGCCCTGATAAGGAGAGTACCAAGAGCCAAAGAGAGTACCGTTCCCAAACAGGTAGGGCCAGGAAAGCAAAGTAAACGAGGAAAAAGCCAAACGTTCCTCATCAATGACGGCTGCAGTCGAGTCAAAGTGGAATTTTCAGAAATTTCAGCCATTTTTGGAAATGCATACACTGGAACTGAAATGTGTTGGCAAACTCACTTGTGCAGGAGCAGAACTGTGATTCACAGAGGTGGTGGTATAACTGCCACCAGGCTTCACACCGCCTGGTAACAACCAGTTGGCTCCCAATACACACTTCACATCTGGCTCAGCTGAATTAATTATTTGCTTACTGGACCCGGCAAAACAAGAAAAGCAGCTCATGTACTGTAGGCACAGCAGCTTCAACATGTTACAGGTAAAGATAACAGAAGGGGTAGCAAGCAAAGCTGTCACAAGAACAAGCGGGCATTTGCTCGTTACGAGTAAACTTAACTTTGACATTAGAAGGATGTTTCCAGCAAGCGGAGGAATGCAAATTCCAGAAGAGCCTCCCAATGGAAGTATAAATCCAAAGTATGGGCTAAACCAGTTTATGAATATGTTACTGTGATTGCTACGGACAGCAGGGAGCTGGGGTTGATGACCCAGGAGGTACTTGCCACTCCTGTGCAGCTAAATGAAGCTTTGACAGCAAAGAGGGACTGGTCCTAGGGACTATATGCTTTGGTACAGCTGACTGGCCTGATTACATATCCTAGACACACAACCACTTTGGCCAAGTTTTGCACTCTAAGATTCTTCAGATGTGACTGGCAATTACTGATCATTAAGACTGCTGACTTTGTCTTGTAAGCACAACCATTAACCTATTTTAAAAGGGTTATAACGCCTCTGTCTTCCACTAGAAAGGCTGACTCATTGATCACAGTACATCTTTGCTACTTAGTGTAGTTACTAGGCCAGATCACTTATTAAGACTGGTAGAACAAGCAAGATGACTAGTCACCTTTAGAAACAAAATTCAGCAAGTCACAGGAACAATAGAATAGTAACAGAAAAGTTAAACGACAGTTGTCACAAGAATTAGTGGCTATAAACTAGCCAGGAGTAAATGCAGGCTGGAGATAAGATTTGGAGATAAGATATAAGAGGTGATCTAATCAACACATTTGGCACAAGTTTTGGGAGGTATAGGGGGAAAGGAGGGAAGATCAGGAATGACCTGGGGAGAGAGGAAGGAACCTCTTCAGATAGTAACAAAAAGACAGCCCAAGTATTGTTTGAGGAGAATAATCAGTAGTTACTCCTTAAAAGCACTATTTTGGCTATCCCATCAGTATTCCATCCAGGGACCAGTTATACTACTAAGATTCCTGATAAGGACATTTCAGAGCAAATGTTCCCATTTATCTAACTTGAGAATCCCACACACCATGTGACAGGAAAGAATAGAATACTTTTCACAAGTTTAAGAAACTGTAAAGCCTTTTAGCAGTCACAGAGAATAACACACATTCCTCTGCTGAAATGTGTTTTGACAATATATTGTGTTGCATATACTGCGGCTACGAAGTTGCCTGCCTCTTTTCCTGTTTGCCTCCAGAAGAACACACAGACATAAATCCTTCTCATAGATGCTGCCCCTTCAACAACCTTACCCAAAAGAAAGAGGAAGGGTACTTTAAGTGGTCCTGAGTTCAGCAAAAGGAAAATAATGAAAATTGCTCTCTTCAGCCTAGATTCTGCTCGTTCTCTAGCTGCCCACTACTTTTAAGACCCAGTCTTCTTCTCATTAACAATTATGCACAAAACATGATTAATTCCCATAAAGCCTATGGATTCAGATTTCCCTGAAGTTAACGTGCGCAAGAAAAAGACAAAGTGTTGGAATCGTTAATATCTACACTAAGCAGCAATGATGCACTGTGATTATTGAGAGCTATGGCTCAAATAATGAAATGCAGCTATGAACTTCCTATGCCTGTATACAGTTTACTAACGCAGTGTTTATAATTATAAGAGGAGGAATTTTTTAAAAGTTCTTTCTTATGTCAGTCTGCAATAAGTTTACAACAGCTTTAATATAACCAGCAGCCCCTTGCGATGAAAGTTTGCAAACTGCGATGGTGTTTCCCTTTGCTAAAATCCACAGGTGCACAAAACCTGTGGAAGGGAAGCAAAATCAGCAAACTCTTTTTTGATTTTACTCGAGTAGCACTTGGTTAGCTGTTCTGAACTGGTTCCTGGAGGCGCTTAGGAAGTTTACATCTGCCACCTCTGAGATGGTACGCAGGACTTCTGTGGATGAGAAGATGGGTCAAAAAAGTAATCTGTAGTAAGAAAAGGGGTAAAAAATGACCTTCCTCC